GTTGGTCTTTTTTTAATTTCTTTAGCTGAAAATCAAAAACCCAGTGGTGATTATACACCACCAAAAGAAAGCGCTATTTGTGTGAAAAAAATGATAAAGATTTATTATGGGTACAATGTTGTATTTAAAGTGCAACAGCACTGAAAACTAAAAATTGGCCTGGGCACTAAGGGGGTGAAAGTGCCTGGTATTGAAGTGGTTACTGAACAAATCCACAACTAAACGAATGCTTCCATTGTGCATATCTCTACTCCTCAGGCTGGTGTTTTTCAAAGGAATTATTGTGACTCCAATGTTAATGGGATTATGTTTATAAAATGATCTCACAATTCATATCTACTGTCTGAGAATATAAAGCTTTGTTTTATAGACTTTCTGAAACTAAAGGGTTACTTTAAATTTTCAGGGACTAATGGCTTTTATAATTGTTTATAAGTAAATGAACCTGTTATGTAACAACCTCAATTAGCATATTATATACAACAATCTAAACTTATCAGACATACAGTTTATGTATTATTCTACAGACCATTTTTTTTCTTTAAAGGGTGCCATCACTTTTTTATATTATCCTCCGTTATGCAGTACTTAAACCAACTATGCATTTTAAAAGGGAGCTGTATTTTTAGTAAATATCTATTTGGAAAGCCATCTTTGTTTATCTTGAGATTTGTTCAGAGAAATTGGCAAGCAACTCACCAATTTATAACCAGCATGGGAAGTTCACATACAGTATGTGGATCAGGTTACTGTAAGAACAAGAAACTCATTTCCTAAACATCCTTAGTGGGTTTCACAAAAGCTGAATTCATGTTTAACAATATGATAACATTAGAGGTCTCAGCTGCATGTAATTTATATGACAGCCTGGATTATTATCTAGATACCTCTGTAAATGTGATCTTGCGCTATAAAAAGAACAATAATGGGACATAAGTAAATAGAGAGCAATGTTTGCTGAGGTTACTTTAGCCCATCTGGATTAGAAATGCATCATATTAGGATCCACATATATACTGTGTAGGATATTAGGAAAATACTATGGAACAGGACATTTATGCACACAGAAATACAAATCTCAAGATTTTTAAAGCAAATCTGTCCAAACTCTAAACATATCAGATATACAGTTAATGTATTATTCTAGAGACTGTTTTTTTTCTCTTTAAAAATTAATTAAAACAGTAAACACAAGTTATATTAATAGTACATACCGAAGAAGTTATAGTAATTTCAGTAAAAACTTCAAACCATCAAAAAGATTTGCAGATATTGGCACCTAAAATGTTATGCAAATCTTGACTTTCCTTAAAATGTCAAGCTTAGCTGCACCCCATGCTATCTCAAGAGCCTTACTATTGGTCAGTGTGGCATCCCATACTAATAAAGGACCTTTTGGGATTTGCAAGGGGGCAGAGACAAGACAACTTACAATGGAAATGTCAGCAGGTAACTTCAGCTGCTTGTAACCTTTGAATGCTTATGCATTTCTGCATCATATTCTTGAATAGAATTCTGTAAGTTTGTGACAGATTTTAAAGGAGAAGTGTGGGAAATCAAAAAATATACATACTTACTTATATGATCCCCTGCTGGCTCTAAGATAGAGAACTGAGCGATTACATGACCGCTGATCGCTCGCTTCTCTGTCTTCACTGTCAGTCACTGCTCTCTGCTCTGCCTTTCAATGCTCACTGGAGTGCCAGGTAGGAACAGCTTTCTCAGGCTCTCAGCAACTTGCTGAGAGGCTGAGTCAGCTGCCGGTCACGCATCTGGGTGGATCCCAATCTTAAAGTCGGGATCCTTTAAGAGCCTTAGACCGGCTCTGTGACATCAGCCAACAGTGGGCTTTAGCCTGGTGTTGGCTAAATCTGGGTTACTGGAGTGCAGAAATAAATGCACTCCTGTGTCCCAGAAGAAAAGTAGGCCAAAAAAAGCTTTGGCCATACTTCTCTTTTAATTATTTATAAAGTAAATCAATACAGCAGCACAGGATACATAATACAGTTGAGATGCAAACATGTAAACAAACCAAGATTCTTTTGACATATCAATAAATATATGTAGCAGGAGAATGCAACTAAAAGGCAAAGGCTTCTCTAAATAAGAGTGGTAAATCTTCATGGGTATTCCTATGCAGTTCCTCCCCCTAGTAGTTTCTATTTGTACATAAAGTAAGTGTGTGAGACGGGGTGACAAGGTGGAAACATGGTAGGAAGGGTAAACAAAGGATAAACAAATGGTCAATTTGAGGCCTTGGGGTGGTAAGGAGAGTGAAGTAGTGGGAGGGGAAAATGCTCCGGGGTGTATCCATTGTTTCATCCATTTTTTTCTTTGAGCCTGTCATTTTTTTAGCAATGTGACAGATCTAACCTGAAGGCAAATTTTTTTTTTTAAATTTCAGATGTGGAGTGGAGAAGGATTAGAACACCTGTCAGGGTTTTATTGCTGACTGTGTCCCTGTTGGGGTAATTCTCCTTTTCTTTTTGTTCTAGTGACCAGTGTCACCAAGAGTGAAAGAAAATTCCAAATTTTGAGTGGCCTACAGAATAGGACTAGAAAAATCTTCCAATGGGGACACTAGTTTTGGTGACTGCCAAGGAAGTTCTTCAAATTGGAGAGGTTCTTCACACTTCCTGTTGTGGTTATGGGACAGGAAGTGGAGGTAAATCTCCTCAATGGAACACATATGGCAAAAAGTTTATAACCTTTTGCCTTAAATTCTACTTTAAAGTAATCCATGCCATTTCTCTTGCTTTCTTGCGACAGTTATAACCCATGTCCTTTATACATCTGTGTGTGGTGGCTCTTGAAGCACTGCCACCAGCCATAGTCCACTCCTTTTGAATCTCCCCCAAATTCTTGAATGGCCTGTGCTTCACAATCCTCTCAAGGCTGCGGTTATCCCTGCTGCTTGTGCACCTTTTTTCACCACACTTTTTCCTTCCACTCAACTTTCCAATAATATGCACTCTGTGAACAGCCAGCTTCTTTAGCAATGATCTTTTGTGACGTACCCTCCTTGTTGATGGAACTACTGAAATAAATTAACTTTTTCATGATATGTTAATTTAGTGAGAGATGTACCTCTATATATACAGTATATGTATATATATACTAAACCCTAAAAGTTGCAGCAACGATACATGATTATATTTCATATTAACTGTGCAGTAGATGTTAGTAACCTAGAGCGGAAGCAAACATTCTTTCTATACTATTAGAATAATTTTCCCTCTTTCACCTTTTCTCACAGGTGCGATTGATGATCACAGATGCTGCAAGACACAAACTTTTAGTGTTAACTGGACAGTGTTTTGAAAACACAGGCGAACTTATTCTTCAGTCTGGATCGTTTTCATTTCAAAATTTCATTGAGATCTTCACAGATCAAGAGGTATGACATATCACCTGACTGACAGAACAGCATTTATATGTCTAGTTCATGGAATCATTCTCTTTTTCTTTAGCTTTAGACCCCTTTCACACGGGCAGGATCGACTTTGCTCAGAAGGAGATCTGTCCGCTGATCACCTGCTAAGATGAGCGAAACGGATGACAGGTCCGTGTTCACTCCGCTTATGCAGAGTGGACACAGATGCAGCCCACTCTTCTCTATGGGCAGTCAGATGAAAACTAATTGGATATTCTTTTACACCCAACTGCCCTCTGATCCAATATGGTCAGACGGAGGGGAACAAATTCCCATCCATTTGTTTTTGCTGGATCAGATAGGAGGTAGCCGGGTGTAAATGGACACAAGTTTATTTACATCCGACTGCCCATAGAGGAGAATGGAGGGTCTGGTTGGGTCCACCTGAAAAAATGGACAGGCAGATCTGACTGGATCACTCATGTGAAAGGAGCCTTATTGTGAGCCAGAAGAAAATCAACACATAACAAAGAGCATGTGCAAACTACAGCACCTATCAAAACAACCAAAACACTATGTGGGAACACATGTAGGTGTTAGCAGCAGCACACATTTATTGACACATTGAGGCACTATATTGAGTTGGCTCAGGAGTTTTTTTTACCCATTTTGTTTCACTATGGATTACTGTTTGCATCTTCATTGCTCTTTGCATTGCCTTACCAATTAAGCCTACATAAATTATTTTATATTTTATTGTATGCAGTAAAAGGGCTTAAGACTTATAAAGCAAAACAGGAGAGTGTATATTCCACTTAGAGCAACCACCCAGCTATCAGCTGAGGTAGTTTTAGTGATGATTTCTTCTTTATGAGACTTTGGGTGGCTGACTGTTGTTTACTATACCACTTATGGTACAGTATTACGGGTACAATTGAATTTTAAGTTAAAATGATAGGAAAGTGCAGAAACAGCAGCCATTACAGTTCAAATGTTTTATTGTTCAGCAGTACAGTTAAGTAAGCATTTCTTACCCAGGAAAAAAATTGCATGAAATCTGAACTAACCACTTACAGGTGCATAGTTTTGGTTTAATAATTAGAAGCACCGAGGGAGCTTTCATAGGCAGCCTGCATTATTTAGTAGTTAAGGGGGCATTTACTTCATTGCCCCAATGGCTTTCCACATGCCCCATTGTCATTTTTAGTTTCTTGATATTGAACCAAATAGTCTAAAAGTAGAAAGCGAGTTAAATGTACCTAACATTTCCAATATATTTTCTCCTAAAATCAGATTGGTGAACTATTGAGCAATACACACCCTGCAAACAAAGCAAGTCTTACACTCTACTGCCCTGAAGAAGGACATTGGAAGGATTCCAATTTGGACCGACACAATCTTCAAGACTTCATAAACATCAAACTTAATTCCTCATCAGTTTTGCCTGAAATGGAAGGACTCTCTGAATTCACAGAATACCTTTCAGAGTCAGTAGAAATACCATCACCTTTTGATATCTTAGAACCACCCACATCTGGAGGCTTCTTGAAGCTCTCAAAGCCATGCTGTTATATATATCCCTGGGGGAAGGGGAGACTCTGCTTTGTTTGCAGTGAACGGATTTAATATGCTTGTTAATGGTGGATCTGAAAGAAAATCTTGCTTCTGGAAACTCATTAGACACTTAGACAGAGTGGATTCTATATTGCTTACACATATTGGAGATGACAACCTACCAGGTATTAACAGTATGCTTCAAAGAAAGATGGCCGAACTGGAAGAGGAACAGTCTCAGGGGTCAACAACTAACAGTGACTGGATGAAAAACCTAATCTCTCCAGACCTTGGGGTTGTGTTTCTCAATGTACCAGACAATTTGAAAAACCCAGAACCAAATTTTAAAGTTAGAAGAAGCATAGAGGAAGCGTGCTCTACTCTTCAGTACTTAAATAAACTCTCCATGAGGCCAGAACCTCTATTCCGAAATGTTGGAAACACTATTGAACCCATTATTTTATTTCAGAAAATGGGTGTAGGAAAACTTGAGATGTATGTGCTGAACCCACTAAAAGTTAGTAAAGAAACTCAGTATTTCATGCAGCAGTGGTCAGGTAGCAATAAAGATAAAGCTGGCCTAGTGCTTCCTAATGGTCAGGAAGTTGAGATCCCAGTTAATTACTTAACATCAATTTCTTCCCTTATCGTATGGCATCCATCAAATCCTTCAGAAAAAATAGTTAGAGTTTTGTTTCCAGGAAATACAACTCAATACCAGATACTTGAAGGACTTGAAAAGCTTAAACATCTAGACTTCCTGAAACAGCCTGTGATAACACAGAAGGATCTAAGTGACCATATATCAAGCCCTGCTGTAAAACAGGCAAAGGTTAAACAGAGAGCAGAAAGCAAGGAGAGCTTAAAAACGTCCTCAAAAGCAACATCCAGTAAACCGAACAAAAAAGAATCTAAAGAAGAGCCAGCTGATGTAGTCAAAAGCCAAAATGATCAATCAGAAAAAGCTTTAGTGAAAAAGGCTCAGAAAACTGAGGCAAAGCCCTCTACAGAGAAAAATGCTGTGAACAAAGAAGAATCAATAATTAAGGCAGAGGTGGCAGAGAAACAGAAAACAGATGTGAAACCCAAAGCTGTTAAAGAAAAAGCAGTGAAAAAAGAAGTAAAATCAAAACCCGAAGAAGTAAAAGATGATAAAGAAAAAAGTAAAGAAAGAAACCACAAAGAAAGAAGAAAAATTGCTAGTTAAACACAAAAAGGAAATTAAAGAAGAAAAACCTAAGAAAGAAGTAAAAGAAGAGAAACCCAAAAAAGAGGTTAAAGAAGATAAACCAAGAAAAGAGGCTAAAGAAGATAAACCTAAAAAAGAGGCCAAAAAAGAGATCAGGAAGGAAGAGAAACATGAAATGAAAAAAGAAGTGAAAAAAGAAGTGCCTCAGAAAGATGTGAAAAAAGAAGTAAAGAAAGAGGATAAAGATAAAAAGGAAGAGAAGGAGGCCAAAAAAGAGATTAAAAGGCCCGCCAAAGATTCAAAGAAATCAGCAGCATCTTCGTCAGATGCTAAAAAGTCTACCGTTAAGGCAAAGGCTCAAAAGAAAGATGACTCCATCAATAAAGAATCAGCAGCTCCAGGCAAGTCAAAGGAAAAAAAACAAAGGTGATTAAGAAAGTGGGTGAGAAGAAGCCCTTGGCAGCTGCAGGAGCAGTTGTTGCCACTGCAGCTATTGCCGCAACAGCTTCTGTTGCTGCTACAGCTATAGCAACTGGAAATATAGGTAATATGGTGACAGAAAGATCTCTCATGTCATCTCCTGAAGATTTAACGAAAGACTTTGAAGAGCTTCATAATGAAGAAGGCATCATAAATGAAGAACTGAAATCCCACCTTCAGGCTCTGTCACCCACAGATGAAGCTGTCATAGTACAGACTGAATCTTACACCATCAAGAATGAAAATACTAGCAGTGAACAACCCGCAGATTCACCAGATGAAGGAATAACTACAATGGAAGGTGAATGTGAGCAGACTCCAGAAGAACTTGAAATAATAGAGAAACACAGGACGAGTGAAATCGACAAGTTTGAAGATGAAGGAACTGGTTTGGAGGAATCATCAGAAGCTGGTGATTATGAAGAAAAGGCCGAAACAGAAGAAGTTGAAGAACAAATGGAAGATATTGAAGAAAGAGCTTCACTGGTAGAACATCATACTGGTGAGTTTGGAGAAACTGATGAAACTGAGGAAGAGGTTGAAACAGATGTAGTTAAGCATTTGAAGAGTAAACATGAAGACATTATTGATTCTGAGACAGCAGAAGAAACAAGCCGAAGAAGATATTGATGAAAGTGCTGAAAAGGTTGAAGCTGATGTAACAGAAGAAGAGGTGGAGGAAGATAAAACAGATGATGCAAAGGATGATGAAGAAACAGAAAAGCTGGAAACAGACCATTATCTAACAGCTATAAAAGACAAGTCAGAAATAGTTAGTGACACCGAAGATAAGTACATTCTGTCTTCAACACCATCCAAGACTTCTGAGCCCCAATCCCCAGCTGTTGAACCCGGTGCTTCAATTCATGATGAAACTTTACCTGGTGGCTCTGAAAGTGAAGCAACTGCATCTGATGAAGAAAATCGAGAAGATCAGCCAGAGGAATTTACTGCCACCTCTGGATTTACTCATTCAACCATTGAAATATCTAGTGAACCAACACCAATGGATGACATGTCAACACCCAGAGATGTAATGAGTGATGAGACAAACAATGAAGAAAGTGAGTCTCCATCTCAGGAATATGTCAATATAACTAAATATGAGGCCAGCTTGTACTCCCAGGAGTATGACAGAACTAGAGTGTCTCCACTGCCTGAAGGTTTGAATGGGTTATCTGATGTGTCCAAAACAGATGCTACAGATGGCAAAGAATACAGTGCTTCAGCTTCTACTATCTCACCTCCATCCTCTTTGGAAGAAGACAAATATTCCAAGTCGGCACTGAGGGATGCATATATGTCCCATGGACATATTGACATGAAAGGTTCCAAAAATCTTGAAATTCAGGATGATTATGAGCTGGAAGAAAAATTAAGTCCAAGTAAAAGTCCTGCTCCACCTTCACCAATATCTAAAACACCTTTAAGTGAAAGAAGTGTCAATTTTGATCTTACTCCTAATGAAATAAAAACATCAGATCTTGGTATCCTACCACCTTTACATGACCATGAACAAGATATCACTGAACAGTGTCCTTCCCCAGATGATAAAACTCTTGAAGTAGCTTCTCCTTCTCAATCTGCTGCTGGAAGTGCTGGGCACACGCCTTACTATCAGTCACCAACTGATGAAAAAGCTTCAAAGCTACCACCAGAAACATTGGAAAGGACATCTGTTCCTGTTGTCTTTGAATTTTCTGATACCAAAGATAAAAGTCCCAAAATAAGTCCTATGGATGAGCCAGTGCCAGATTCAGAATCCCCAATAGAGAAAGTATTATCTCCATTGCGCAGCCCACCATTGATAGGATCAGAGATAACGTATGACAGATTTTTAACTACTAATACTAAATCATCATCTGGTCACGGTAGCACTGTTGATGAGCATTCCTCTTCTCAGATTAGTCCTGTATCTGAAATGCTGTCTGATGCAATTTCTCAGGAACATGGTGAAAAGAGTGAACTTTTCTCTAGTAAATTATTTGGTGTAGAGACAAATACTTATAATAGCAAGCATGCAGCATCCAATGTACTGGATGGTGGTAAGCTTGCAGGGGACGTTTCTCCTACTCAAATAAACACCAATCCATTTATCTCATTTAAGGAGGACACAAAAATGTCAATTTCTGAGGGCACTGCATCTGATAAGTCTGCCACACCTGTAGATGAAGTTGTGGCAGAAGATACATATTCCCACATTGAAGGTGTTGCCTCAGTCTCAACAGCCTCTGTTGCTACTAGTTCATTCCCAGAACCAACCACTGATGATGTATCTCCTTCACTTCATGCTGAAGTTGGATCACCTCATTCCACTGAAGTAGATGACTCCCTATCAGTTTCAGTTGTTCAGACTCCCACCACATTTCAAGAGACTGAAATATCACCATCTCGAGAGGAATGTCCCCGCCCAATGTCAATATCTCCCCCAGATTTCTCACCTAGAACAGGAAAGTCCTCAGCATCACTGCAAGAGCAGCGCTCACCAGAACAGTCAACTATGGAATTCAGTCAGGAATCACCAGAACAATCATTTGCTATGGATTTTAGCAGACAATCACCAGAGCATCCTGCAGTTGCCTCCAGCATGCTTCACATATCAGAAAATGGACCAACTGAAGTTGAGTATAGCCCCTCTGACCATCATGACACTTACTTTGGCAATAAGATTTCAATGGACAATGAGTTTTATGTTGTAGACAAAAGTCAACAACCAGCTGCTGAAGCTCATGTGCAGGGTTCTGCTTCAACTTCCTCTGCACACTCACAAGCTTCTTCTCCTTTAAAAGAAGATGATTCTTTAAAAGATGTGGTTCAGAATTCTGACATGCCCTTGTATTCTCCACCAATACTTGAGCCAGACTTTTTAAGGATGATAAGTTCTCCCCTGGAGCAGATGTTTCTCCATTAACTCCAACACCATCCTTACTAAGACAGTCCCCAGGCTCAACAGATCCTACACAGAAGATTAATTTGAGTGATCACAGTTCAGAAGCCCTATCATTAGAAGCTAGGGTTGCTGAACAAGAAAGCTTTCAAATGAGAGCTTTGAATTCAGTAGTTAAGGAACCCACAATTCTCCATAATACAAACCCCTTTGCTTATGCAGCAGAATTTGATGGCAGAGACAGTTTAGGTGATGCTTATGGCTATTCCAGTGAAACAAATGACCGATTTTCTGCCTCAGAGAAATCACCTTTTGCTGAGCACCGGCAAGAGGTTGACCTTTGTCTTGTGACTGCATGTGAATATAAGCACCCAAAAACAGAACTGTCACCTTCTTTCATTAACCCAAATCCTTTAGAATGGTTTGCAAGTGAGGAACAAGAACAGGAAAAACCTTTAACTCAACTTGGAGGAGGACAGCCTCCTTCAGGAGGAAAACAGAAATCCCGCCAATGTGACGAAACACCCCCAACATCTGTAAGTGAGTCAGCCCCATCCCAGACAGATTCTGATGTCCCACCTGAAACAGAAGAATGTCCTTCAATAACAGCAGATGCAAACATAGATTCTGAAGATGAATCTGAGACTATTCCTACTGATAAAACTGTAACTTATAAACACATGGATCCTCCTCCTATTCCAATGCAAGATCCAAGCCCATCTCCAAGGCACCCTGATGTCTCAATGATGGACCCAGAAACTCTTCCTGTAGAGCAGAGCTTAGGCAAACCTATGAAAAAGGACATCAAGGAAAAAGGGAAAACAAAGAAAGTCGGAAGCAAAACAAAGTCATCTTCTCCAGCTAGGAAAAGTGATAGCAAATTAAAAGCTGCAGCTGCCTCACCAAAACCAATCAAGGAAACCATGGAGAAGAGTGCAAAGACTGCAACTCCCAGAAAGAAAGACTCTGTAGAGAAAGGTCCAAAGGTTACCCCAAACCAAGATCTCAAGTCATCAAAAGGAGAAGAAAAAGATAAAGAGACCAAGAATGCTACAAATATAAATACTACAAAATCATCCAAAACTGGAACTACAGGTACAGTAATTAGATTGTATATTATGCATTATTTAGAGGCAATCTTTCTTTTTTATATAAAAAATATCCTCCATCACTGAAACGCCAAAATATGAGCTCAATGAGTGTGAGCTGTGCCAACACTTTATGTGCTATTCTAACACACATAAATTAACCAAACAAACAAAAATTTAGTGCAGCGCTCACTAGTGTTAAAAAAATAATAATCAATAAACAATCACCTTAGTGAAAAACATACATAAGTGCCATCACACCACAAAAATAAATAAAAATCATAAAAATCCTCCTCTTTAGAATAATAAGATACTGTCCCATTTTAAAATGTGACCCAAAAGAAGGCTTGATATGCTTTTCCACGTGAATCCTACATGAAAAATATTGACACACATCACCACTCACACACATACTCACCTAGGTGGATGCAACATCAGTCCGATGCTGCATATTTCCCCCAACACCTCTAAGACTGAGAACTGAGTGATCAAAAACTGCTGATCACACAGTTCTTGGTTTTCAGTAAGGAGAGAGCTGGTGGCTGTCAAATTTTAAGTCATCTGACTACAGAACAGTTTCCACATACCATTTTAAATGAACTTTGGCCCAGAGAAGAAAGCAGTGTTTCTGGATCATGTTCAGATATAGTTGCTTCTTTGCATGGTAAAACTTTACCTTGCATTTTTGGATGGCCCAGCGCACTGTGTTCACAGGCAGTGATTTTTGGAAATATTCCTGAGCCCATGCAGTGATGTCTATCACAGAATCATACCTGAATTTAATGCTGTGCCTTCTGAGGGCCTGAAGATCACGAGCATCCAATATTGTGTTTCGACCTTGTCCCTTGCATACAGCATTTCCTCCAGAGTCTCTGAATCTTTTGATGATATTATGTACTGTAGATAATGATATATTTAAAGTCTTTGCAATTTTATTTTGAGGAAGATTATTCTGAAATTGTTTGCAATTTTTAGATGCAGCTTCTCACAGACTGGTGAACCTCTGTCCTTCTTTACTTCTGAGGCACTCTGACTCTCTAAAATTCTCTTTTTTACTCAGCCATGTTACTGGCCTGTTGCTAATTAACCTAATTAGTTGCAAAAAATTTTTCTAGCTGTTCCTTGTTAGTAACACTAACACCTTTCTTTTGCCCTGTCCCAACTTTTTTGAGACGTGTTGCTGCCATCAATTTGAATATTACCTTGTTTTTTTCTTAAAATGGTACATTTTATAAGTTTAAACATTTAATGTTTTCTATTTGCTATAGAATATGGGTTTATGAGATTTGCAAATCATTGCATTTTGTTGTTATGTAGATTTTACACAGCTTTCCAACTCTTTTTGGAATTGGTGTTATACAAATGTATCAGCACAGCCAGACCATAGTCTGTAAATCTGCGTTTCTATTAATCATGCTATAAAAAAAAAGTAACGTATGAAATATTCTTAACAGTCTCTGCCAGGCATATAATAAACATGTCATCAGTATTTTAGCAGAACGGTAGCATTAACAAGCAAAGGAGTAAAGGATTTCAGCCACTAGTTATTTATGAAGTTTTACTATATTTAGAGAGTGCTGCTGTAAAGGGGTAGGAATGAAAACGGAATTCAAAGCCCAAGAAAAAACACAGTTCAGTAGACAAACCCCCAAAACATGCATGAAAAAACTATAAAAATAGTGAAAGTAATTAAAATTATTTGCAAAAATTTGGCCACATCATCCTACTCTCCAACATCCTATTTCAAATGTTAACATCAAACTTGGTCACATGACATGGGGGGTGGGAGGGGGCCACAACACTCAGTAGCAGTTATGATACTGGGAGGTACTGATCTGTCATCCTTCATGGGCAGATGGATTGGTAAGAGTTGCTGGTGCCACAGTTGTGTCCCTAGTCTAGAAGGCTAAAAGATCTAGTCTGTTAAAGGCAAAGAATGTAGCTTACTTTAAATACAAAAACTGCTTAGTTTTAACAAGAGTCCAGCACTAACCAATGCATTATCACTCAGTAATAATAATAATATATCTCACGTGCAGAATTTATCTCACAGCCTCATCATTGGTTATATCATCCCCCTTTCAACCTTTCAATCTGCCAGGGTAAGCTCTCCATAGCACAGTTAGAGAAATTGGAGATTATTTAAAGTTTAGTTTCTGCATAAAATTTAGTTTGTTGCATATCCTATAAATGTAGAAGAGATAAGCTGGATGTAAATAATCTTATCAATGTTCATTATTGTTTTATAAACCTTGCTTTTATGAAAGATGTGTATATATGCATGAGTGCAGCCATATTTGTGTATTTTATTTGCAGATTCTGCTTCCTGCTTGGCAATGCTACACAACAGTTGCACTATGCTTCTTCTCATAATAGAAGTCTATAAGTCAGCTGATTCATTGCAAATAATTTCCTACCTGAACGACTGATATCTTATCTCCACAGTTGCTATGTAGGGAGGAGAAATGATTGTAATAGCTTACCTATTCTGCCTCCAGTAGAGGGGGAAGTGGGGTCACGTGAGATGGCCCTCTCCTTGCAGCCCTTGTACCCACTCACGCTGTAGCACCAGGGTAACACGGAACCTGAGACTCTGCTAAGTGGTAGTTACAGCTAATATCCTGAGTTCTTAATTTTTTTGTGCCTCCTCCTAGAATGGCCTTAGCCTGGCAAGTGTGACCTTCTTCAGGAATACCTTGTGCCTCGGCAGCATGTAGTAGTTGCAGATCTATTGCTTTAATGCATTTCAACTTTTTTAGAAGAACTTGATTGATGATAACAGAAGTTGGAAGACGCAAACTCTTCCAAGGCTTTCACAGCTTCTCTGGCTAGCCGTCACTGGGTGGGTATCAGCATCCAAGAGTTCATATAGCATCCTTTGGAGCACATCAGCAACAAAACAGGAGGTTCTGGTGTTTCTTCATTCCAGCTCTTTGACTAGCAGAGGACTCCCTTCAGGCCCGCATGACCCCCAAACACACAATCTGCATACAGAAGCAACACCCTCTAGACCTCAAGCCCTGGGGCCCCACCACAGGCACACTGCCTGAACCACATCTCCCCTAAGGGGGGCTGAGGGACGTATCTTTCCAGATAATGGCTTAGCTTTTTTGATAGTAGTCCAGACACTAAAGACAAACTTACCAGTGGGTGGCCAGCTAACATGTCATACAAAACTCCATGTATCCACTCCTGTCATAAGATGCTCAGCTGGAAGATAATGTGATGCTGAAAGTCCCTGAGCACCATATTCCAGGAAAGGCCTTGCAAAACACATCTCTACAAATATTTAAAAGTAAACCATGTAGGAATGTGAAAATCTTATCTAAGGTTACTTTAATATACGTAAATATTGCAACAACTAAAATGTCTGCTCACTGAAAATACATTAAACTTTCCCATTGATGTATAATAAAAAAATGTATACTTACAGTATATGTTTGTTCTATCATTTTACTGTGCATTTATAAAGATGATCTAAAGTATGCACATAGAGTCATTGTTTTTCTCTGCAAACATTTTCCTAAAAAGGGTTTCATGGGTATTGTATAAAATACACAGTAGATGACCATAACCAGAGCAATTTCTGTGCCCTAAAATACATCTCTGCATATCTATTCTTTTGTCTGCCCTCTACTAGGGAGTTCTGCCAGTCTAGCAAGAATACACAGGGGTAAATTTACTAAAACTGGAGCACTCAGAATCTGGTGCAGCTGTGCATAGTACCTAGTCAGCTTCTAATTTCAGCTTGTTAAATTATGCTTTGGCAATAAAACCTGGAAGCTGATTGATTTCCATGCAGAGTTGCACCAGATTATGCACCCTCCAGTTTTAGTAAATAACCCTCACAGTGACTAATGGAGGGAGAATAGGAATCTGATGAGCACATAGAAGAATCTAGAGGCAGCTGGCAGGCATAACAATTAAACGTATGCTAGTTGTATCTGCATAGTATTCCATAATGGATTTGTAATTTCCAAATTGAAGGTCATTGCCAGTAAAAAAACACAAAACCAAAATAAAACATAAAAATGTGGTTGGTAATAATCCCTTATTAATGTCTGACTTTAGGAGGTGGATCTGCAAAATCATCGAAGGCTGCAGCTGTGCCCCCAGGTCCACCAGTATACCTAGATCTGGTCTATATACCCAATCACAGCAGCAGCAAGAATGTTGATGTGGAGTTTTTCAAGCGGGTACGATCCTCATACTATGTAGTGAGTGGAAATGATGCAGCAGCTGGGGAACCTAGTCGGGATGTGCTGGATTCTCTTCTAGAAGGCAAAGCTCAGTGGGGAAGTAATATGCAGGTAAATATGTACAGTGTCCTGCTTTTTATGCCTTATATTTTATATTATCATTCAAAGTTTTATGTTATGACCACTAATGATCATTGTTACCTTCTCAAGAATCTCTGCTGTCATTTTGTTACTACTGATAATATCCATTAGGCTGTTCGTCAGGTTTTAATTACTGTCTGTGTCCCTACTCAGAAGCATCACCTTTTCTATTTGTTTTGATGACCATTGTCACTGGGTCAGAAAGTGATTGGAATGTCAAAGTTTTGACACTGGTACAAAAAGTGAGAAATCTTCCAATGTGGACACCTGTTTTAGTGACAGCTGTCAAAGAGAGCTTTCCCCTTAAGCCGGGCAACACTGGTTGCAGTAAAGAAAATTGCTTGACTCCTCTATCAACACAGTCAGTGTTGATGGGGGAATCCCTCCCACCGAGAACTCAGTTATTACTGCTAGGGGCTATAATAACCGCTAGCAATAATTGCATGTAAAATCTTACAGGCTGGTTGTATGTAAGTTGATCGATCAATCAACTTAGGTACATTCAGCTTGCCAATACATGGTTTGAATCTTGACCAGTCCCTGCTGAACCTGCCAAGTTTCAAACCTCTATGGCCAGTTTTATGTTGTAGAATTGCTCTTACTTTCTATTGTGTTTCCAATACAGTAAGTGAAGGGAAAGTATCCTCACAAAAAAAAATGGCGGGGACAAAAAAATGGCAGGGACCTCTATCAAATGATTTTGTTTAAGAGGAGTTTACCACTAGATGAAATACCTTAAACTTCAGACATTCCTTGTAGGATGATAAAGTACATCTTGTCCCTCTGATCCTTCAGCTTAACTACAAGTAAAGCTACTGACCCAGAATATATATGCAGACAGTGGAGTCACAACTCTTGAGCTGCATGCCTATTCCAGGTACCTTCGCTTGTAATGTGGTTAAGGGAATGACTGTATAATGCCTGCTACAGGACGAGAGTTTGGTGGAGGTACATCTGCTCATGAGAGGTTCCCTTTATATATAATGCTGTTCTGAAATGATGTCACTTTAAGTTGTCAGCCAGAATTACACACTGACTGAGTAATTGTAAAGGAAATTGCAGAATCCATTAGTAAATTGAGCTGTCAATCACCCTTGTGTATCACTTACATAATGAGTGGCTTCACAGCACAATTGGGGTTAAGTTTGAAATGTCACATTGGTGGTATATAGATGATCAATTTATTGAAAATGTACAACTTTTCTTTTTTCATTTCCAGGTTACGTTAATTCCCACTCATGATTCAGAAGTCATGCGGGAGTGGTACCAAGAGACACACGAGAAACAGCAGGACCTCAATATAATGGTGCTGGCAAGCAGCAGCACTGTTGTTATGCAAGACGAATCCTTCCCAGCATGCAAGATTGAACTGTGAGGAGACCGCTACTCACTGCCGCACCTTAACACAGCTGATTAATGGAAATGTCACCTAGAGATTACAAATAACTGCAGAGCTATATATTGCCCAATGCTACCCTGTGTCTTGCCAACACAGATTTCAGTTATATATATATATATAAATACATATTTATCATCTCCATGGCAAACTACAACATTCACGTCATTGCAAGCTCAACTATCCAGGTTTACTATACAGGTTTGTAGGACTTGCTCTTGTACACATCAGTTCACCTTAATCCACGATGGGAACTTTCCTCTTGACTGAAAGACAATGAGAGAGAAGAAGGACCTTTGCAATTGGACATTTTGTGGCATCACTTTACTGGGTTAACTGGTTAACTTCTACAGCATGTTGTGTTGTGTATAGAATATATATATATATATATATATATATATATATATATCTACACACATACACTTTGCAGATCCACTGCAAACAACAACCTCACTACGGTCTTGTCAACTTGTGATCTTCATCAAGGATTGCATTGGACAGTTCGTTAATAACATCTGTTACTAGAATCACAGGGTCTGAGCCTTTGTCCTTCCTTGCATTTGGCAAAATGTAGCAAATGTCAGGCCTGTCACTTTTAGATATGTGATAAATTGCATCATAAATAATTTACCTGCTGTAGATCAAGTCATGCTAGCAAAAGCCACTAGACAACACATGGGCGCCAAAAAACAATGTATTGTGTCTGAGGCATTCTTCTGCTAAATTCATCTTGACAGATCTCCTTACATTACAATTCACGATTGGTACACAGAAAGCAAAATACCAAAGCGTCGGGAGTACATTCGGTTTGACAATTTGCCTTAGAAAGTGACTTGAATGTACAAAGACACCTAATGCACTTATTTTTAAATGTAAGATGGACAGCAGTATGCTAGTGTGTAACTGCAGAGGTGTGTGCATGCTTGTGGGGGATTCAAGAGCTAAGCTAATGGGATACAACAGAATGGAGTTCGTTGGACCAAAGCTGCATTGATGTGCAATGAGTGGCTGATGACTAGTTTGCCAGGCAAATTGAAAGTTGAGTTTTTATTTTAAAGGTTACCGATTGCCCGCTCTTTGTCATTTGCTAGTTGTTCTTTGTTTCTTTTCTTTTTTTTTTTTTCTTTTTTTTTTTTTATAATTATTAACAGTTGTACAGATCTTTTTATTGTATGTAAAGTACAACGCAGTTTAGGTTTTTCATTTTATAAGCAAAAGTTGTTATCTTGCAATTGTTGTCTATTGATTAGTAAATGATCTGTGTTTGGAGAGTTGGGATGGGCAAGATTAATATTTGGATGTGCTTATAACTTTTTTTCCAGCATACTTTATAATCAAGTCGTTTCTAGACTTATGGATGGTGGAGTGTTTACATGTGATTCACTCGTGTATCATGAATCATGATGCCCATAATTAAATTAGCTCTACTTCAAAATGGACTTGTAGTAAGCCATTGTGTGTCCTGAGCCTATGATCAGGAACACTGTTCGAGTTGACCTCTACTGTTACAGAGGTGGTGGATAGTGTTACCAGGTTGCACATACAAAATGGCGTACTACATTGTGAGATGCTGACAGTTACATCTTACAGGGGATTGACTGAACTAGGACGAGGGAGCATAAAGTGTAGATAGCCCTCTATTTTGTCATCTGTTATGCTTTTGGGTATATACTATGCCTGTAAGCCCCACTCTAAATGAATTCTGGGACGAGAAGCTTCTGTCTCCATCCACTAGGTGTCAGTCTGCAGGACAGTCAGGGAAGAAGGAGACACAGGCTAGTTGGTGCCAGAACTTGCCTACCCTGAGACATTTACACTGAAGATCCACAAAACAGGGGTACATATTGTGTACAGGTGCACAATACATGGATCAGTGTTGGTAACTGTGAGGGTAGGAAAGTCTAAAGATTTTATTGGATAAACCAAATGCACTGCCCTATGTGATATATGTAAGATGTAAATTTGCTATGCCACTGTTTTATTACTTTTAATGTGTTGTATATTTATTTAATACGGTATTATTTGCACTGTTTTGGTACTGTTTTTGGACTTGTGTAGTCCACTTAATGCTGTGAATTAGGACAAACAAATTCTTTTTTTTTTTCTTTTTTTTTTTAGGCAATGATATTTATTTTCTGTTGGTGTAAAATTACACAACATTATGCCATTATTGACATAAAGATTCAGCCTTTTTTCAGCCAGTATTTAATTTGCCTAGCTTGTATGGCACTGCCTTTATACTCATAGGCACTCGTTCTATCAGTTTATACAAAAGATCCAAAAAATCATGAAGAATACAGTGCTGCGATCCTAACACAGGACCATAGAACTGTATAGCATTAGCATTTATAACGCAGAGCTAAGAGCTCCAAAAACCAGTGGTTATGCCCTTAGCGATGTTTGCCTTCAGTTCTCTTTGCACTAGTTTTATTTTGTTCTTTTTTAATAAATAGTTGTGCTTATTGTGAAAGCGGATTGCTATAAAACAGTAGGAACTAGAATGCAGCCTGTATTCTGGTATCACTTATGTGTGTTCATACCTAATGCCCATAAGTATGTATGCTAAAAGATGTAGAGGGGTAAATACAAAATTCATAGAACATTTTTATGGTCTTCCCTAAGATTGCCAATGAACTTATTATTTTTCACGAGAAATTAAATACTTTGTTGTCTCACTGAATAGTTAGTTAGAACAGACCAGTGCAATGCATGTATTAATAAGGTAGTTCTGAGTGCATTGACTATGCTGAACGTTTAGTAATCTACAACATACAATCAGATCTGAGTACAATAAATGACATTCTTATTGGTTACTATGTGTTATTGCATGGCACTTTGCTTAACCTTATTAAATAAATTGATGTCTTTTCTATAATATAGATAAGGCAGTGAGAGTAATTTTCACTGTTTGCCAACTGACACCTTTGAATGATGAGTAACTGTGAACTCTGTGAAAACATTTATTCACTGTCGAAATAGTATACTTTTAAACCTGCCAAACTAAACAAATTTCAAACATCTCATAGTAGAGGTAATAAAACTCTAGTTAGTTACATCAGACTTCAGATACTGATCCATGGAGACTGAGTTCTCATTAAATTTGTCTTCATCCTGTATTGAATGAATACTTCCCAGCCTTGGCAAATTAAAGGGAAGATTCATTCAGCTACTACAAAAACACAACCAGAAACCAGGGTTTAGAATTTGCCCATAGCTGGAGGGATAAAACTTCATAAAAGTGTGCGGACAGATCTTACCAAAACGGGAACGAATGTAAATATTGACTGTATTAGTTGCAAATAACTATTAGGCGTTATAGCATAATTTTATTTCTAGAAACCATTCAAATGAATTTGTTTTATAGGAATATTTAGTGATTGCAGGACAAGGAGTACTATGTATAGATTGCATTCCAAGTGGAGAGTAGATTATATTCTTTGTAATTGTGCTATGAAGGGATATGGAAGAGTTGATATAAATTGTATCGGGTCTGTTCTTAATTTTCAGTCCCCTGTATACAACCTGGAAGGGTGACCAGTGGGGTTTTTGCCCATAGTGACCTATCCAATGCAATGTCTATAATTTACAGGAAGTATCTGTTTGGCTGCAATGGGCAACACATCCACTGGTGTTTGTCCAGGTTGTAAGCAACACTGTGCTTCCTACAGTTTACAATATGTCAAAGAAGATCCAATAACAAGTGATGTAAACTGTTCCCAGGTTCTTGCTTATGACAATTGTTCTTTCCTTTGATAAACAGGTGGATATATTGGAAGTATAGTAATAAATTGTTGAAAAACACAATGTGCCTGACACTACTTTTGCCCACAGTAACCAATCTAATATAAGCTGTCATTTTTGCAGAACAATAAAGGAACCGATTGGCTTCTGTGGCCAACTCCCTTACTGGACCATGCCCTCAGTTTTCATGCATGTGGCCAATATGTTGTAGGTAGAGCAGATTTCCACATGTAGTGAGGGCAGCCGAATTTTCATTTGAAATCTGATTCAGGAAAATACAGGTTCTGCCTTATGGCCAAGTAATGTTGGTAGTTTCCAGGGGTACTGAATCTTCATTAGGTCCACAAAATGGCTGTCTCTATTGTATGTTGAGTCCTCTTCAATTTTCAAAATGTAGTAAGCTGGTAAATGAGAATTGGGTTGTATGTACTAGTGTGCTTTGAAGTAAAATCAGAACAAAGTCCAGGCTGTAATTCTGCTTGTCTATTATTCACCATTGTGATAATGGGCCTACCCTTATTGGTTGGTAACTGCCATCTGTGGTCTGTCCAGGAATGGAATACACGGGGACAGCTGTGCTGATTCCCCAGCTTCCAAATGCAGAAATATCAAAGGTCAAAAGATATTAAACAAACCCATTCACCAACAACATCAATTACATTTTACACTTTACTTTATCAAAGGATAACTGTCCAAAGAATTCAGTAGGAAGGGGTACATGTTTGTGACTCAGGGTTGACTCATCTGCACATAAGAATTTAACAGTTGCTTAATTTTCAACAAATTGATTTTGAATGGGTATTTGCTTTGAAGCTTCATAGTAAATTAAGTACTTGCTATAAAGGTTAATGTCAACCTACTTAAAAAGTAAAGCTCTAACGTACTGAGCCCTAATGTGACCACCCCTGTATTAAATGAGCATTATTTTGGTTGATGTGTCTTGTTGACCCATGCTTTCCATGACATGGAGAGCCATCAGCTGAAAACCAGCTGGGCACTTTTATAATACAGAGAGGAAAATGTCTTAATTGTAGATAAAAAATTAAAATCAAATTTACTGTTATTTTCTCTTCTGCATTGGAGGAACAACAGCTGGTATCTGGTTTGTTGGTGTAGGCATCTCAAACACTTATCTTTCCTCCAGTTTCTTTTTATATAGAACCTTAAAATGGCTTTGTATTTCATTTTCTCAGGTTTGATTAACAATAACCTAGATTAGCTGCTATGGACTATGTTTT